TTGAGAAGCATTGTGAGACTCACTTCACTCTCACTGCTTTACCTAATTCCCTTTCCATTTCCTTGAGCCCCAAGGAGGCTCTGGCTCTGTGCCAATGTGCTCACGTCTGGATTTTCAGGTGCATTGTGTTCTGGCCAGAGGATATCCAGAGGGGTAAAAGAATGGCAAACTCATCACCAGTGTGGAGTTACTTTGAACCTTGATATTCTTTCACAACTTACTACTCATCATTGTCTTTCTTCAGTCTTCAAATAGCCATGTCCTGTATTCTATCAAGGCTGTGTGTCCATGCAGTAGGAGAGGAAGGGTTCCAGGTGTTTATTCCATCTTAACTCTGAGCCAGTTACTTATTTTGAGCAGTAGATTATTGTGAACAGTTATGTCTTTGTGTGTACATGCGGTTGGTTGATTTGCTTTGTTTTTGCTGCCATACAGAATTTTTGTGCCCAGAAATGAGGCATTTATTCTAGACTGCTCCAGAGTCTTTTTTCTTGGACATGCCCTGGGTGATTAGGGCTACCAAGTGAGTAGCTTTGATATGTTTCCTTGTTGGCTAAAGTTCTTCTAATCACAAGCATTAAATCCAAATCAGAATGACGTGGGAAATAAAGGGAACCTACTGATTCACCTAATTGAGGGGTCAAAGAGAGGAATGGCTGGGCCAGCCCTATTGCCTACTGGTTGTGGGGACTCAATCCCACATGGCCAATCACTTTGAATCTCAGCCCTGGTGGTTCAAAGAAATATGCTGGACACATGCGCATGCATATGCCAAATCCCAACAGGATGAAATGGAGGTGAAGGGATTGCGATGTGACCATACCCCATTGAGAGGGTACTCTGTCCCTCTCTGGCTGACTCTCTGGCAATTAAAAAATTTTAAAAAAAGGTTTGGCTTCAGGCAAGGCTGGATTCAAGAAATCAGAATGTTTGCTCTGTCTCACTCTGCTTCTTCCTACAGAGTGATTTCCTTCTCATGCTCATGCTGAAAGAGTTGGCCATTAGAATTGCAAGCCAGCTTCTCTACGAGTTGCCTGTCAAGTCCCTTGTTGATACCGATCAGCCACTCTGGGAATGTTGCCCACACCTGCTGCAGTGAGAGCCAGAGTAGCATATGTGCAAATCCACTAGTGGCAGAGGGGATCCCGAGATAGTGAACCAGCATCTAACATAAAACAGACTACTGTACCGTTGCAGCTCAGCTTACATGTCTATGAACATATTTTAAACTTGTCTCATAACAATATTTTCTTTCTATTCAATACTATTATTTTTCTAGAATTTTCTAGAATCTCATCAGTCTCATAAAACTAATAAGGCTAGCCATCTCTTGGCATATGCAGGTCTATCTGGAAATTAGGGTTGGTCTAATTTTCATGTCACCAATGGCTTATGGCCTGCTGATGTTGGCCTGATGCTTCTTATCTGTAAAGAAAACATGATCTGACCTTAGTTATTTCTTCGCATATTCCTAGGCTCCTTCTCCTTCTCCTTCTCCCCTCTTTCCTATCCCCAGGGGGCTCTTTCCTTGAGCTTTTGTAATGGAGACTCAGGAGGACAGGGAAGGGATGTCAAAGGGGGAAAGCACCTAGGCCAGAGCTGGGGTGCCACCCAGCAGTCAGGATAAGCAGTCTTACAGCTGCAGCGTACCTGAAAGTAGACGGTGAAATTGCTCTTGAGTAGCTGGATTAGCTGGTTGGTTTGCTACACCACCAGTAAGACTACACTGAATGGGTCTCAGCCTTAGTCTCTTCTAACACTGAAGTGTATCCACGTGTCATCTGGGCAGATAAGGCAACCTCAGCTCTGCCTCCCCTGCAGAGAAGACCTCACCTCCTGCTGTGGCCATGTGGGCCAGTCAGAACATGTACAGCCTTGCAGAATCCCAAGCTCGTGTTTATGGTAGAGTGGGACAGCTACCCACATGGCTTTCAAATTTGAACGAGTTCCTATAGGGTAGTGTTTTCTGTACGTGCAAAAGGAAAGGAGAATCTGCTCCCTTTTGCATCTCGGCAGCTTTGGATCCTAGCTGCGCAAGGAGCAGAAGAGCTCTCTTAATGTCAGCTTTCCAAGGTCAGGCAGGGAGCAAGGACTTGTCGCAGGCACACTGTGGTTCTGGTCTGCCCTGCTTTCCATAGAAAGACTACACAAAGCTGGCCCCATTGGAGTCACCCTGTATGCAGTGTGAAGCAAAGGGCTTCTTTCCCTCGGTTTCCTCACCCTCCCTAGGCTTATTCCCTTCCCTTTGCTTTAGTGAGGAGGTGACTTAACACGTGAGTTTTGTCTCCTCCACTTTTTAAGACAGAGGAGATTTAAATTTACAATCTTTCTAGTTATTGAGCAGTCTTCTTATAAATCATGTCACTGGATTTTTTTTTTTTTTTGGAGAGATTTTCACTGTACGACGCGTGCGCTCGCCAGACAGAGAGAGACATAGAGACAGAAAACGAGAAATCACCCCCCAGGGGGGATGGTCACGCCACAATCCCTTCTCCTCCATTCTCCTCTCAGGATCTTGGGCACGCACGCACACGCGCCCAGCGTGAGTTTTAAGCCACCGGGTCCAGGACACGAACCGCAGTCGACTACGTGGGAGTCCAGCGACATAGCCATTACGCTAACTGCTGGTTCCCATTGGATTTATTTTTAAATTAGTATATAAATATTTGGAGCCCAACTGAGGTTTATCATGGGTTCATATTTTTAAGACTGTTTGACAGAAGACTCTTGCCAGAGAAAGACAAATAAAAAGGGAGAAGGAGAAAGCACCCCCCCAGCAGGGCATGGTCATACCCCAGTCCCCTCTCCTCCATTTCTCCATCCTGTTAGGATTTGGGACACATGTGTGTACATGCCTGGCATGCTTTTCAAGCCACCAGGGGCTGACATTCAAATCATGGTCTGCCATATAGATTCCAACTCCCTTAACCACTAGTATTTCCATTTTTAAAAAGGTGATGGGAAGTCATAGTAGAGAAGCAATCCATCATTGAAATGCTGGAAAGTAAAGATCATTTACAAAACGTGATCTGTAAAGAAAAGTAATACGAGCAGCAGCTGGCGTGGTGGTTAAGGCTCTGGACTCCCACATGGCTGACCCCGTTTCGAGTCCTGCACCCCATGGCCTGATAATCATGCAGTCACATGTGCATAAGTGCCCCAAATCCCAGGAGATGAATGGGGAAGAGATTATGTTGTGGCCACACCCAGGGAGGTGATTTCTCACTTTTTTCTCTCACTGTCTGTCTGGCGAGCACACACATTTTCGGTCACCTTTAGCACTTAACATGGCATTGCTTATGTGATTTTAGAATTTGTTTATTTAGAACACATTATAACCATGAATAGAAACTTCATTTTGAAAACACTACAGATTTAATTTTGGATCCTAGAGAAATAAGTGAATAAAAATGAGCAACTTGTCGAATTTCTGCTTTGGAAGGATCAGTGCTGACTCTGCAGAGGATGGTCCCGACCCTGTTTCAGAACGCTTGACTGAGGGAAGCTGGCTGTTTGAGGCCAGAGGGCCTATTCACATCTCCTGGCAGGTGGGAGCATCGTTCCCCCTTTACAAATGGGAAGCTAGGCCCGAAAAGATACCATAAGGCTAAACCTGCTAGTTTCCTCTCTGCCCACAGCTTGTTTTCAGTCTGCCTCCAGGAAACAAAAATGGACTTAAAGATAGTGCTGTCATCACAAAATGTAAACTTTAATACAAAAACCTGGTAGACTGCCTTACTGTCCTCAGCCTTGCTGCCTAGCCTGAGTTGATAACAGTCTTGCGAGGGATGGAACAGTGTCCTCATTTTACACAGCACTCTGAGGGGCATCATGAGGGCAGAGACCACACAGCTAGAAGGTGTTCAACCAGGGCCAACTACCTGTCCTAGACCCCTGTCCTGCCCTGGAGGTGGTGCTGAATCTGACAGGACACAGTTATCCATTCTCCTCCTCCTCCTGTGAGGATCCCGTCTGCTACACAGGCCCCGAGAGCTGCCTCAGCAAGGGTTTTGGGGGCCCAACATTCATGGCAGTGGCCACGGGACACAAGCCACATGCCTGTCCTGCCTAGATCATGTCATATAACCTAAGAAGACGGGAGTATGTATTATAAGTTAAGAAACTGGTGATGGTAAGGTACTATGTCAGCAGTCTGGAAAATAAATAGGCATGGTGAGGGCAGTGGGCAGGGAGGAGCCCAGCCACTGTGCAGGAGCACAGCAGACCTGAGCCTCCAGATAGCCCTGGACACTCTTCAATTAAATGGCCGTAAGCAGCATGCTTACCACTCCAAGCTTCTATTTCCTGTAAAGTGGGTAAATGCAATGACGCACGGTATCAGTGGGGGCACCCAGCATCTGAGTACAAAAGAGAAGGCCTCTTTTTGAGCAGTGGAGACTGATCACTTGACAGACTACATTCTTGGCCCCATCTATGTATTTTCATAAGTTTTAATTTAGTGAGTCTTTAATAACATTTTATATGATAAAGACACACCGACAAAGGACAGTGCCAAAGTGGGAGGCCCTAGGAACTATAAATAGTATGTTACTATGGGTTGTGTCATAAAAGCTAGAGAAAGGATTGTCCAGGGCATGAGAAGTTCTCTTCAGTGAGTGCTCGGGAGCCAGGGCTGCACTGCTGAGCAGGCAGAACATTCCTGGGCATAGTCAGTTCCTGGCAGCACAGGCAAAGGACAGAAGGGCAAGTCTGCATGCTTGAGAGTACCGAGTCACCCCTCACAGATGCACTGATGTAGAGGGAGCTGCCCTGGCTTTTTGTCTTGCCCCACGTGTCCGCTCCTGTAGGACATGGAACAATAAGAGCATGAGCTTCGTCTTCAGAAGACCTCCTCCATCCCAGCCTCTTTCTTTCACCCAGGAAGTTGTGGGACATTATCAGTCCCTTCAGATGACTGAGCCTCAGGAGCCTGCAATCTGCTCAGTGACCTAGAAAAGTTCTTAGTGATGCTGGGCCTCATTTGTGAACTTCTCTTCCAGCTCTGTGCGGTGTGTCTAGAAGACTTCAAGCCTCGAGATGAGCTGGGCATCTGTCCATGTAAGCATGCCTTCCACAGAAAGTGAGTATTGGTTGGGCTTACTTAATGAGAGCCAAGTTTGAGGCACTCTGACCAATAGACTCGTGGGCTTTGGGGTAATGCCAGAGAGGCATGGCAGCTTCATGATCAGTCTCTAATATAGAAAGCTTTCAGCACCCCACCAGGTAGGGCTTATGCATGTCCACATCAGGGTGGTGGAACATGACTACCACAGCAGGACTTCATGCAGAGATCCAGCAAGCCTGCATCTCTTTGAAGCTCAGGCTGATACTCAGCTATTTCAATGGAACTTTCCAACAAGAGCTTCCATCTCCTAAAATCCTATTTTAATCAACCATAGTCATTTTAAATCACACACACACACACAAAAAAAAAAAACACTTTAAATCAAACAATTTACTGGGACCAGCAGTTAGCGTAATGGCTAAGTCACTGAACTCCCATGTAGTAGACCGCAGTTCGAGTCCCGGACCTGGTTGCTTAAACTCACGCCAGGCGCGTGTGCGTGCGTGCCCAAGATCCCAAGAGGAGAATGGAGGAGAAGGGATTGCAGCGTGGCCATTCCCCCTGGGGGGTGATTTTTTGCTTTCTATCTCTCTGTCTCTTCCTGGCTAGCGCCCTATAGCAAAAACCTCTCCCCCCCAAAAAAATAAGTATTACTTAAAAAAAATTACTAAATCAAACAATTTATTTAAAACATAGTTATTTTAAATCAAAAAATAAATTCTGGGAATAAATGGCATATGGGACCATTTCCTCTCCTTCCTGCAGACATACATTAATATTCCCTTCTTTTGCAATTGTGATTTTTTTTAAGAGTTTTAAGTTTATTTAATTATTTTCAAGTTCCACGAGAAAGAGAGAGAAATGGAAAGTGAGAAAGCAAGCTGCCAGGTCTGGGATTCAAATCATGGTGGACCATGTGGGAGTCCAGCACCTTAACCACCATGCCACCTGCAGACCCCATGTCCTGTGTTTTTATTAGAAAATTTTACTGTTCTTATGCCTTACCTCCCTCCTCAGTGTACTCTGTTCCTTAGAAAGTCCTAGGTGACTGAGGGTATCACATGTTGGCTTTAGTCTACCTTATCGAAGGCAGGAAGTTCTGATTCCTCCAGAGGGTGACACACACTGTCCATGTCATGGTGGCACTCCTGGGACTGTACACCAGATTCCTACACCTGGGCTCTGGGTGACACACGTGTTCACTGTAGGGGCCAACATGCACTGTGAACAGGGGTGCCTTGCACATGTGACATGGGCTTACCTCCTGTGGTGTCTTCTTCTGCAGGTGCCTTATTAAGTGGCTGGAGGTTCGGAAAGTGTGTCCCCTGTGCAACATGCCAGTTCTTCAGCTGGCCCAGTTACACAGTAAGCAGGACCACGGCCCTCCACAGGGGCCTCTCCCTGGGGCAGAGAACATTGTATAGCTCATCACACAGCCCCCATTGCTGGAACGATGCCTGTGTGGAGCCAGGAGGGACACAGCAGGCTCTGTGCTGGCTGCTCCATACCTGGAGCCCCAGGAGCCACTTTCTTTGCCTCGTGAAGAACTCCTGGGCCAGCCAAGCTGGGAACCTAAGCATCTGGGTCTCGTGACAACCAAAGCACTCTGACACTACCCCCTGCCAAGAGAAGAGGAGTGGCCAAGCCTGCGGTTCAGTCCAAGAAGCTTCCTGAGAGTCTCTGCTAGTTCTATTACACTGTCTCCCGGACACACCTCTCCATGGCCAGATGAATTTTATCAGGCAGAAGGGAAGAGACGCATACGTGTTAGGGGAACTGAGGGCAGGTCTTTAAAGCCCCACCCCACCCATCCGGTGGACAGATAAGCTGCTGCGTAGACCACGCATGCCTTTGCAGCCACAAACCCTCCAAGCCTGAGCCAAGTAAACCAGCGGGGACGTCAGCCGGAACACAGCTGGCTACCAGCAGTTGGTGAGGCAGTGCCAACCAGGCTTTTGCGTTATGTTCCTTTGATAAGGCCATCTTGAAACTCGAGGGCATTGGGTATAACAAGCAACAGTGCCCGTCGCCACCCCTTCCCTCTTGAATTCCCAGCACTTGCTATCAGATCATCTAAGCTGAAACATAGATGTGCTTGGAAAGGCCTGGTCAGAAGCCATCTCCTCTTATCACCTCCCCCTCCTCTTCACCAGCGAGGCCAGTCAGAGGTGGGCCCTGAGCCCACACTATCCCTGCGCAAGCCAGAGGCCCCAGCCCTGCCCACACCCTTACAAGCACCGCGTGGTTCCCGCATGGCTGCGGGACTCAGCCCACTGCCTCAGGAGGGGCCACTGGGAGCCCCTCCGACAGCTTTTCTCAGAATGGCTGATCCATAGCCTGTCCCCTTCTTCCCTCCCTCAGTTCTCTTCCCTCTCTTGCCTGATCTCTGTTCCTACTTAAGAAAAAATGCCAGTCCTGTGACTTTTTAACTGTTTATCCCAAATAAGATCCCTGTGTAATTCTAAAGCTGGTGAACCACTTGGGATTGTAAATAGTTTCAGGAAGCTCGGCAGGGCTGTCCACCCGACAGTGTGTGCCTCAGTATTTGGACTCGCGATAACTGATAGTGTCTTTATTAGGAGAGAAATGCATGCTGCTCTTTGACTCTTTCTGTCCATCTTTTCTAGAAATGACTCAGAATCCATTAGGATTTGTGAATACTGTATAAATTAGCTAAGTAAAGCAGCAGTGGGCATATCAAAGATTCTTTTCCACAGCCCGGCCTCCACTTGCGCCATAGTGGGGCTCGCCTCAGCTCCTCACTGACTGCCGTGCCCCCAGTCCGAGTGGGAGAAGTTTGTCAGTGGAAATGCAGCCGCAAAGTGATAGCAGAGGATGGAGGGATCTTCACTACTCTGCTCTTGGCAGGTCTCCAGGAACACTTTCTGGAATCTAACCCCTTAGAATAGGAGAGGGCACCTGTCCTTGGCTCAGGTGGCAGGGGTCAGATAAGGAGGAAAATTCCCATTAGCCTAGGAAAGTGCTGGGCAGAATCCAGTTTGGAAAATTACAAATCCAGAACTGGTCAGAATTGGCTGTTTCCTGCATGTGACCTCTCCATGGTGTGCCAACTGGACTGTTTCCTCCACAGGGCAGGGGAAGTGTGGAATATTTTCATATGAAAGCCTTAGCCTGTCTGGCATCCATGAAAAGAACTATTTGTACACACCTACTGTCACCTTTTTTGCATTCTCTGTAGCATGATAGACTCGGGTGCTGCAAAACTCCCAGTTTATAGTGTGTGCTGTCAGTGACCAGTGTCAGAGCCAGGCTTGCTCTGGGTGACCCTCATCAGTGACTGGCCAGCACCCATCTTTTCTGTGGAACAGCCTTGGGACAGATGTCACCTCTTTATTATGGATCTGCAATAGGGAAGAGAATTTCCCCGGAAAGGATTTCTCTATCATCTGTACTGCAGAGCATTGCTCATGGCTCCTGTAGGATTCTAGCTTTTCAGTCACAGCCTTTTACTCCCCTGTGTGTCAGTACCAAGGAGACAGCCTTTCCAAGTCGCTGTACTTGTAAGGAGGCTCACTGTTTCATCTCCCTGTGTCACACCTAGTTGTGGTTTGTTGAGGTGGCTAAGGAGGAGCACAGGACCAGGGGCACTAGTTGAGGTGGCTAAGGCGGAGCACAGGACCAAGGCACAGGTCTGACTTACAGAACTTAGGGAAAGCACAGGAATGCTTTCACCCTGCACTGGGCACCATCTTGGACCTACTCTGCCCAATGAGGTGCTGCTAACAGGACCTTATCAGCACTTGTGAATATGGAATGCTTCTTAAAATGCATTCCTTCTACTAGAATTAGGCTGGAAGCTGGAGCTGCATGAGGATTCTCTCTGGTCTTAGTCATCTCCTTTTGGCTTGATGTCCTTCTGCAGTAGGCCCAGTGTTATTCATGGTAGTTCTGGTGACTTAGCAATACAACCCAAATGTGTTTGCTTCCTTCATCTGGTCCTCACTAGAACATCCTGGGCATCTGCACGGCCACATATACAAATGGCAGGCCTTTTATTTATTTTTTTTTTTTAAGATTTTTTTGCTATAGGGCACATGCACTCGCCGGAGAGACAGACAGGAAAGGAGAAATCACCCCCTGGGAGGGGTGGCCACACCACAGTCCCTTCTCCTCTCCTCTCAGGATCTTGGGCATGCATGCACATGCACCCGGCGTGCGTTTAAGCTGCCAGGTCTGGGACTCGAACTTTGGTTGACTGTATGAGGGTCCAGCAACATAACCATTATGCCATCTGTTGGTCCATGGCAGACCTTTTCATCTTCCATTAATTTTTTTTTGAGAGGTTTTCGCTAGAGGGCGCATGCACCTGCCAGACAGACAGAGAGACACAGAGAGATAGAAAGCGAGAAATCACCCCCCAGTGGAGATGGCCACACCGCAATCCCTTCTCCTCCATTCTCCTCTTGGGATCTTGGGCACGCACGCACACACGCCCGGCGTGAGTTTAAGCCGCCAGGTCCAGAACTTGAACCACGGTCGACTACATGGGAGTCCAGCGACATAGCCATTATGCTAACTGCTGGTCCCATTCCATTAATTCTAATGAAAATCACAGCATTTTTTGTTTTGTTTTGTTTAGAGGATAATCCATGCAGATTTATTTTTAGGAATCCCTTTATATCACTTGACCTGGCTCAAACCCCATGGCGAAGCCACCTCTTCTGCTTCTGTATATCTCAGTTACTGGTCATCTTTCATTAATGTGGTAGGTGGAAACACTGGTCCCCTCTTGGACCACTGACTGATACACTCTGTCTGTGTCAAGCAGCTCAAAAGATTGATGTTACTTGTGTGTTGTGGGTTAGTGAGAAAACAGCCCCAGCTGGACTCCATGGGTGACTAAATCGTGTTCTGGCTGTTGCTAGGGAGACAAGTGAGTTCATTTGGCTTTAAAAAATGAAAACAAAACCAGCCTGCCTTGATTCTTGGTTGGATTGGCCTAAGACACTATAACATGCTACCTTTTTAAAGTTTACTCATGAGAGCATGTGTGTACACACGAGACCAACAGGCACCCCTGTTAAGGTCTTGCCATCCTTTGATCCCCTTCCCCCAGCCCTCCTCTTTAGGTCGTGAGCACATGCACACCTGCTTTCAGGTCAGCCCAGCCAGGATCCAAACCCACAGGCAGCCATGTGGCTTCTAGCGTGGCAGTTCAGTACACTACTGCTTGTCTACCTGGACTGTGTGTCTGATGCTTTTCTTTACCAAGTATGATTTAGTTAAGCCTGTCTCTCAGATAAGGTCCTTGTAGCCAGTTTGCCTTACCATGGAGCAGGACAAGACAAATGGCCAAATGGGGTCAGGTGGTCCCTGGGGAAGGTCTGGGCTGAGGGTTACAGGGGGAGCACTCACCCTTGCCAAATACCCTGCTCTTAACAGGGCTTAAGTGAAGGTCCGTTTCCCCAGTGCCAAGCCCCTTGCATCCCTTCAAGGAAAGACATTGGACTATGTCCCTTTTTACAGTCACACTCCAGAGCCTGATCTCTATGGTTCATTATGCTCTAAGTTACTTTGAACAATTGTAGTCATTCTTCTGGGAGGCTTCCTGGGAATTATGAAATACACGGAGAGGTGTCCCCAGAGCTCTAGGCTCAAAGTCATTTGAACTTCCCACTTGCCACTCACTAGCCTTGCACCTCTCTACAGGTTAGCTCGCCAGGCCCGTTTCCTTGTCCACATCCAAGAAGTGATTGTGATACTTAGAGCCAGCAGGTGGTGGTATGGTGAAAGTGCTGGAATCCCACGTGGTCGACCATGGTCTCAGTCCTGGACCTAGTGGTGTGAAATTTATGATGGGCATGTGTGTACACATGCCCAAAATCCAGAGAGGACAGTGGAAGAGAAGGGACTGTGGCATGGCCTTCCCCCTGGGGATCATTTATTGTTTTCTGTCTCTCTAGCAAAGACACACATCCTGTAGCAAAAAAAAAAAAAAAAAAAAAACCTCTTAAGTTTTGCTGCCTCCTGCAGGCCTGACTCATGGGGCTGCTATAAAATTATCATCCAGGGGCCAACAGGTGCTGTGGTGGTGAAGGCACTTGATTCCCATGTGGCTAACCACAGTTCAAGTCCTGGACCCGGAGGCTTGAAAGTCATGTCAGGTGTGTGTGCATGTGTGCCCCAAGTCCTAGAGGAGAATGGAGAAGGAACTGGCATGG